TCACTAATGATGTGTCCTGGTTTCCCTCGTAAAGTTACAGCGTGCGAACACCAAATCCGTGATGAAACCTGCAGGAGAAAGCTATCTAATGCTAGCTATTAGCTATAAAAAAAGAAGCAAATATAGAATTTACCAGTACCAGGTCGATGCTAAATCTGAAAACGGGACGATACTACAGTTCACAAGATACCATCAGGGCCGAGCCAGTAACGATATAGTGTTTTTCCCTTTTAATGCTACATCGTGAACAACAAATCAAAGATAAAACCAGCAGGAGAAAGCTACTTAATGCTAGCTGTTAGCTGTTAGCAGCCTTAGCTAACAGAACCAGAATCTGCTTTATTTCCAAGATAGTTTACACATTCAATGAATTAGTTTTGGTGTATGATGCTGCATACCTGTACACAGTAAGAGGAATTAAATTGTACAAAAGAAGCACATATAGAAATGCAATGAAAACATTATAAAATTAAATGAAATATAAAAAAATGAACAACAAAAACGGAAATGTAATAAGAATAGGACCCTTATCATGATTTGGACACATTTAAGCCCTTTTAATTGTAGTTTTCTCTAATCTACTTGAAAAGATACAGTAGTTTAAGGCAGATGTTTACAAAGATATATCAAAAAGTGAATTATAACCTTCAGGAAGCAAACAGTATTAACAAATAACATATATTAAAGTCCACAGGATTTATTGTTATCGTTTTACTCTGGTATCAAATGCTACGTTTTCCCTGTTTATGTCACAAAACAACCAATGAAATTCTCTTAATTGGATGCAGTAGTCACCCAATGAGCATCCTATCCATCTTTACGTAAGCGCTAATTTAATTTACGGTGAACTAAATAAAGAATTTCAAATGTGTGTGTCTTCTCAGCTGCAAACAAGCACGTTCCTTATCCCATATGTGTGTGTGAGAGTATGTGGATATTTTTTCATGTGTGTGTTGGTTATAAGCCGCGATGTCAATAATAACCCGTGCCTGTGTGTTTATACAAATGCGGGTTTGTTTCCTTCCCTCTTCACATCCAATCCGTGTGTATATTACATCACACACAGCTCCCATTGATCCCTATAGATGTATTGATGTGATTTAGGTCAGAGTTCGCTATGACTAGGGTGGGGTTTGACCGACAGATTGCACAGAAAAACCGCGACTAAAATCCCCGTTGCTATCTTGATGGAAATCCTTCTCTACACCTCTCTATCCGGTGCACTAATGATCCGTTATGTATTTTTAATGTTGCTCTATCTAATGGACGCTGCTCTTAGCCTCTTATTGATCTGCCATCCCAGCATTATCAGCATGCACAACACAGTATGTTCATTTTCTTTTTGGCTCTTAAATACCAGAGCTGTGATGTCATCTAAGTATACTCAGCATACAAAACGTGTCCTTGCACAATTGTCATACCAGGTGTCTCATTAAATCCTGTGCCATACATGTGAGAAGGTTACCGTCGGCTTGCTGGAGTAATCTGATTTTAGAAATGTCACTTATACAATGGGGGTTTTCTATAATTAGGGGTGAGGGATTAGGGAAACACAGTTAACACAAAGGGGTGGGACCATGGGGAATTTATTGTGGATTAGAGTATAAGAAAACACTCACAATAGCTGCATTTTGTCTTAGAAATGCTGTTAAAGTAGGGAAATAAAATAAAAAAATACAGAAATTATTAAGTCATCCATCTTCTCCCGCTTATCCGTGGTCGGGTCGCGGAGGTAGCAGTTCCAGCAGAGAGCCCCAAACTTTATTTTCCCTGGCCACATCAACCAGCTCTGACTGGGGGATCCCAAGGCGCTCCCAGGCCAGCGAAGAGATATAATCCCTCCACCTGGTCCTAGGTCTACCCCTCGGTCTCTTCCCAGCTGGACGTGCCTGGAACACCTCCCTAGGGAGGCACCCAGGTGGCATCCTAACTAGGTGCCCGAACCACCTCAACTGGCTCCTTTCGACGCGAAGGAGGAGCGGTTCAACTCCGAGTCCCTCCCGGATGACCGAACTTCTCACCTTATCCCTAAGGGAGACACCAGCCACCCTGCGGAGAAAACCCATCTCGGCCGCTTGTATCCGCAATCTCGTTCTTTCGGTCATGACCCATCCTTCATGACCATAGGTGAGGGTAGGAACGAAAATGGCCCGGTAGAAAGAGTAGACTTTGCCTTCTGGCTCAGCTCCCTGTTCGTCACAACGGTGCGGTAAAGCGACTGCAGTACCGCTCCCGCTGCTCCGACTCTCCGGCCCATCTCACGCTCCATTGTTTTTGAGAACCTTAATTAAAAAAATTCTATATTTGTTTATTTGTCTTAAAATTAAGATCCTATCTATGATGCAATACAAATATTAGTTTTTTAATTATTTGATTGATTCGATTATGTCTTAGTGCCATATTATATAGATGTTATGCATTTAATACCAATTTAGTAAGGGTTTTGGATAATATTGCGAATTACTTTTGCCAGGATAATCATCGCAATAAATAATAAATAAATGATCAAATTAAGTAAAATAATTATGTTGCATGCAGGGATCAAATGAAAGACGGTTCTTTGTAGGATGAAATACTTTTAATTCAAAAGGAAATCTTTACACTGACAATAAAGCAATGTATCCACGCTTTAACAATCTAAAGATATGTGGTTGTACTCCTCCGTTGGTAAACTACTTGTAAAAACTCTCAGACGTATTTTGCACCTCAAGGAGAAACTGAAATCTCTCACCATGAAGCCAAATGAATAAATAAATAAATTACCATCAAGAAACAGCATCTTATATCAGAGCTGCACTTAAATGAAAGGTCCCCTATCACAGTGGTTCTCAAATGGGGGTACGCGGACCCCTGGGGGTACGTTGGGGTACTGCAGGGGGTACGTGAGATTTATTTTATGTTAATGAAAAATAAAAAAATGAATGCATTTAAACAAACTACTAATAGTAGATTAACTACTTTATTCAAAGGTTTACAGAATCTCTGGATAATAAAATGGAAAAATAAACGGGGCGCTCTCTTTTCCTCTCCCTCTCCTGACAGCCCGTCAGTCTCGTGCAGCTCGCTGAACCTGTAATGAGTGACCCGGCAGTAAAGAATACATATATTTATAACTAGTTTAGCTTGTTCCAGAGTAGATGTACAGCTAAGTGTGTTAGGTCTAACTCTTAGTGTATTTAATTGTGCTCCGCTCAACGGTCCGTCACAGCGTCGGAGCTGTGATCATGCAGAGCTGCGTGTTCTCAGTCAGCAGCAGCTGATCTGATCTCTGATCTCTCTCTCTCGCGTCCGGTTAGACTTCACTCGCGTTGATGTCCAAATCTATCAGATCTAGCTAGTTCTAGTTAATTATATGACTGCCTGCTTATCAAAGGACCTAACAATAAGCGTTGCTTGGCAACGGCTTGTGGCCGCAAAGCATAGGCCGCATATGCATTATGCATATGTTTATATGAGGGGTCAAAATCCCATGCTCATAAAATGCCAATTTTAGGAGAAGTAATGAAGTTTGAGCAGTGTGGGTTTTATATTAACAGAGTTACACATATTTCAAAACGCGAAGTGTAATAACTGCAGTTTGCCTCCCTGTCAGAACGACAAAGATCCTCAGTGAAGCACAAGCCCATGTTTCACTACATTGTAACTTATTAAAAAGATCAGTTAAATGCAGCTAATGTCGTCTCTGTGTTATTGCTTGATGTTAAAATTGGTTTGCCATGAATTTAGTGATGGATTGTAAACATTTGAAATGTAGCATTTAAGTGTTTCTCAGTTACAAGGTTGTTGTTTTAATGAATCAGACACTGATGGTGCAGCGCTGTACTGTACCTCTTTATATTGGCTTTTTTTCCTTAACAAATGGTTTTTGCGCTGATCGGGGGGTACGTGGCTGAATATTTGTTTCAAAGGGGGAACATGATTGAACAAAGTTTGAGAACCACTGAACTATCATACTGTTTCTCATCAATATATGATATGTCTCAGATATATACAAAACATGTCTCTGAAGTGTTTGGCTCGAAACACCAAACAGATCATTGCAGCATTACCCATAATCCCCTCTGTTTCAGCCCTGTTTCCAAAGTGCTGATTCTCTGTCTGTTAATTTAGAGCAGTGTTTCTCAAACTTTTTCATACCAAGGACCACTTAACCAATAAAAAAACACTCGCGGACCACCTAACTCCACAAATATCCAAAAACACATCGTTTATTTAAGTATCTTTAATAAAATTAAAACAATTAAGTAGTATCTCAAAATAATCACATAGTCACTTAAAATCATGTCTATGTTTATATCCAAAAACAGATATACGACGACAAAAGACTAAATCTAGCATTAGGTTCCATTGAATTACATTATGTTGCGTTCAAGCTCCACTCAGAAATTGTACTTTTAAATGTAGTTTTTGCCAAGAAACTTGAAATCATACAGTTCTTTAAGGGAATCTTTTTTAAGGCAGATATACAAACCTGATTTACCTGACCTGAAATCATGAAATAATATCGCAAATTAAGATAAATGTGGTCAAGATGGTGACCAAGGATCTTAAATTAATGAAAATACCTTGTCAAATCATAAAGTAGTATCTCAAAATAATGACTTATCTCAAAATAAGATGTTTCAAAAGAAAGTTTCTGAATGTTTTCAGATATTTAGTGACTATTTTGAAAACGTGTTTCATAATATTGATTGAAAACACACATGGGCCTCCATAAATGTGCTTATAGTTTATAAAAGTACATATTTGAACAGTTTTCATGCCTTAATATCATAAATACTTCCCATTTTAGTGTATTTCATAGTGATCTGATGTAGTACAGATTTCATGCCTTAACATCATAAATACTCCTTTGATACTTCCCATGTGAATGTTTCCTGGTGATCCGATGTGTTTCCTGGTGATCCGATGTATTTCCTGGTGATCCGATGTGTTTCCTGGTGATCCGATGTATTTCCTGGTGATCTGATGTATTTCCTCTCTGTGTTTTCTCTCCTCAGGTACATGAAGTACTTGTACCCGTTTGAGTGTGAGAGGAAGGGTCTCAGTTCTCCAGGTGAGCTTCAGGCTGCCATCGACAGCAACAGACGTGAAGGCCGGCGTCCGAGTTACAGCAGCAGCCTCTTCCGCTTCTCCCCCTCCCCGAGCACCGCGCCACACATCCTCTCTCCTCCCAAGATGCACCTGGGCAGCCTCGCCGCGCTCAACGGCATGCACGTCTCTCCCGGGACACGTTATGAAGAAAGGTAGGAGCCATGAAGCTGTGGATGTAGAAACGTCTAGCAGCTAAAGAGACGGAAATGTTAGCTTGTATGCACCATTTCTAATATAAAGAGTCTCAAATCAGTATTCAATGTTAAATAAACTGCAATAATCTGTATTTTTTTTGTTCAAATTTAAGTTAAAACCTTTGTTTTTGGACTGAAAAACGAAAAATGTGTCCTTTGTAAATCATCTGTATTAGCTTTTAACTGAACACAATTAAAGCTGAGGATCAATTCATTTATTTTTGTACACAAAACTAAACTTGTATCTGTTTAACATCATATTTAAGTCAATATTAAATGGAAAAACATCACATTTAATGACTTTTTAGAAACCTAAGTGGACATTTTAAACACTAAACAATTAGTCATGAAATCTAAATAACTAAACTAATGATGTATTGGGGTTTCCTTCTAAAATAACCTGCCTTAAATAACCTGTAAGTAAACAGCTCTCAGATATACGGACATGTTCAGAAACCCTCTCTACATCTGCGGAGGTTTCATTTATCTGGGTAAATATGTACGCCACATAATGAGGCCTCTCTGTACTGGTCAGAGTAAACCGGTGTTACAGATGTGCTGGGAGTGTTTGAAGGAGATCACTGCCCTCTGGTGGACAAACACGTGTATTAAAAAAACAGAAAAGGCTTTAGTTTTAAAGAGACATTAAATTAGAAAATGTGTTTTTTACTAGATCATTAAGTAAAGACGATATTAAAACACCAAATCTATCAAAACATTTTATATTTACATTATGAACAACACATTATTATTAAGTATTTAATGTCAAAAGAGCTGCAACATTTAATATTTCCTGTTTTTCTTTACTGTTTTTTTATCTGATTAAAGTACGTTTTTTTTACTGACTAACAATAATAATCCACTAAGTTTGTTGGGAGCATTTTTAAGTAGGAACTATTTTCCCTTCAAAACCATACCCCTCAAAGAACGAGCCTGTAGATATCACTACTTTCGGCGGAGTGACACGCTGGAAAGAAAGTAGTTCCTACTTGAAACTGCTCACAAAAAGGTCTCATGATTTCTGGAAAATATACAGTTGTTTTAAGTTTTGGCGCTTTGAGCACCATAATCAAAGTGTCATCTAACTCCAATATCTCCAACACTTCCACCAAAAAGCTATCTTCTGTAGTTTGATAAATTACACAGAAAATAAGTACGTTTTTGGTTTAAGGGTAAACAAAAAACCTCATCTGTTAGTCCTGGTTCACTCAGGTGTTGGTTTGACTAGTTGTGCGACAGAGGGCGTGATATCCACATAGATACGTTAAATATAACACTAAGAAACCATCTTGATTGATAACAACCTCTACAGGTAAAATAGAAGATACATATCTCTGATTTTGGCGTGTACTGTCCCTTTAATGATTTAAAAACACTTTTAAAAAAACTCTCTATCAGCATGATTAACAAGCATTTAAAGGCATTATATATATAGGCCCTGACGACAGACCAGAATACTCTTCATCCGAGCACCTGCTGTGTGTGTGTGTGTGTGTGTGTGTGTGTGTGTGTGTGTGTGTGTGTGTGTGTGTGTGTGTGTGTGTGTGTGTGTGTGTGTGTGTGTGTGTGTGTGTGTGTGTGTGTGTGTGTGTGTGTGTGTGTGTGTGTGTGTGTGTGTGTGTGTGTGTGTGGCAGCGTATGCAGGAATGTTGGTATGGGAGTGTGCTGTTACATTTGCGTATTACATTCTCGCAACATGTCATGCCTCTCCCCCACATCAGGGTGTGTGTGTGTGTGTGTGTGTGTGTGTGTGTGTAGTCCATCCAGGTGTTTTTAGAGTCCATGTTTTCCCCCCGGCTGCGGAGAGCCCTCACCTTTTCCCCTCCTCATTAATGATATGGTTCCCACACTTTATGAGCTTTGAAGCTGAGCGTTGATGACGGTCATTATGTATGCCGGACCCTCGTGGGATGGCCTGTGTTTTAATAATAATAATACATTTAACTTTTATAGCGCTTTTCCCAGTGCTCAAAGACGCTTGACACTAAATCAGAAAACAAACAGTAGTAGTCCTAAAGTGGGGAGTGTTTTACCCTCAGATTTATGGGGGTAAAAAGGACTGTTTGACTGAATGATGTGGGACTGCTTTTGCACACGTCACTCATCAGATCTGTTTAGTTTGTATTGAAAGTGAAGGAAGTTATTCTATGCTAGTGATGTAAGAAGTCCGTGCAACTCATTCATTGGGAGTATTTTAATTGTAGAGATATCGTCCTCGGACAATTTAAATTCAATTGTATGTGATGTAAAAAGTCAGGAAACAAAAAGGAACTCACCTCGTGGTAAACCTGAGAGAGAAAAAGCGTTTGAGCTCCATCCTGTTTCAGAAATCATCCTTGATGTGGTTTGGAACATGACATGGCGTTTCATCACGGCAGCATTTATCTGAGTTTCTCCTCATGAGCTCTCCTCTCTTTTAAAGCTACGGACCCAGAGTCATCACTTCAGTCACAGGAAGTGAAACAGAGCGGTCTGAGGCTACATTCTGTTTGGTATTTTGAGCAACACTTCATAGACATGTTTTCTATATATTTGTATCTGAGGCTCATAATATATGCCTACAAATGGTATAATAGGAGATCTTAAATGTACTCCCAGTTCACAAATTAAAGCATCCCTCCATGTTTCTCTCTCCTCAGAGGACCACCCCCCCCCCCAAGCTGGCGGGCAGAATTAATAAACAAATTCCAATACTTCTTATCTTATATTGTGCCTTACTATTTCTGCTCTATGTTATTTGTATTACTGTCTGTGTTATTGTGTCGCCCTGTTGGAGGAGCCTGTGACCTAACATGTTCATTGACATAACTAGCCTTGAATCCCCTCTCCTCCAGAAGACCACCTGCCCCCCTCCATGCTGGCGGGCAGAATTAATAAACAAATTCTAATCCTGATCTAATACTATTCTAATCATATCGCAATTATCAGTCAAAATAATCACAATTAGATATATCTCCAAATTAGGATTAATAAAGTACTTCTTATCTTATCTCATCTTGTTCTTCTCTCCTCTCTCCTCAGAGGACCACCTGCCCCCCTCCATGCTGGCGGGCCGCCCCTCCATGGCTCTGGCCCTCGGGCACCACCAGGTCTCCGGCCTGGCGAGAGCCGCCACTCTGGAGCAGCTGCGGGAGAAGCTGGAGCCGGGCGGGGGGGAGGGCCCGGAGAGGAAGATGGCCCGGCGCATGGCGGAGGAGCAGCAGCGCCTCATGCAGCAAGCCTTCCAACACAACCTGCTGGCCATGGCCTCTCAGATGCCCCTCAACATGCGCCTGGGAAACCCCAACATCACAGCCAGAGGTCAGTGAGGATTGGAGGGTCAACATGTGTTTTAATGTTAAAATGCAGCGTATCACTACGCCGAAAGGAGTGATATCTCCAGGCTAAAAACTTCTATTTTCTGCCGTTCATGCAGGTAGGGTGAACGTACGAGGAATTTGACCTGGTGATAAACCTGATTCTGATTGAGCACCATAATCATAGTGTCATCAGTGATCACCAGGCAAAGTGTGAGCAGGTCTGATCGGGGGCAAAGGCCTAGTCTCTTTTTATTTTATTATAAGTTTCTCATTATCTGAGATCCTTATGTTCAGGGGTGCACATAACTTTTTTGCCCTAATTCTCAAAGGAGCACCTGGAGATGTTGCTTGGTGCTCATCCTTAAATTGAAATAAATAAACCGGTCTTTATTTGTCAGACACACGGCACAGAACACACATGCAGAGGTGAACACAGAACACACATGCAGAGGTGAACACAGAACACACATGCAGAGGTGAACACAGAACACACATGTAGAGGTGAACACAGAACACACATGCAGAGGTGAACACAAGACAACATTAGCACGACCAGTAATCCTACAAGCTGTCATCACTACCCTCCTGACTGTTCTCCTCACTGTCTTCCTCTCTGTCAGACATGGTAGCTGATGATGTAGGCCTACTTCTTTCTCTCTGGTTGAGTCTGTGATTAGCTGCTTGCATCCACAAGTCAACAGCTGGGTTTGGGTCGAAAGTCCAGTTTTAAAAGGATATGTTTGGTTACTGTCCTATAGTATACATTGGAATGATTTCAAACCTGTTTATCCCAATAATTATAAAGGAGTGCCTTGAAATATGTGTTTACATAAATTGTGATCAAACCGTTTGAACTTAGACTAAAGTGAACTATCTAAACACTCAGAGTCCTTTACCTCACTGAGCTGTAGTTAACTTATCAGCCTCTCAGTCTGACTGGAGAGGACTCTCCCTCCACATTATTGTAGAAACATCTTCTTCTTCCGTTAGAGCAGCTAGCACCAGATGCTAATAACAACAGCGCCCTCCCTCTCTCCCACGCTCCCTCGCATTTTCGCTGTGAGCTGCGGGCGCCAGATAAGCCAACATCCCCCATTTTCATCACTTACAGCGCCCATCGTACAGGGCAAATGAAAAGTGTAACCGGGGTGAAAAGGGTGTTACATTTACTTAATTATGAATGTTGTTACATCAAGGCCGAAAATTAGGATGAG